TTGAGCGGTATTTCTATGTAGTAAGAATATAAGTCGTCTTCTCAGAAGTGATATTTCTCAATATGACTGATGTTTAATTTTTTATTTTAATAAGGCTGTGAACAATTCTAAAAAATTCTTTTTCTCTTTATTATTAAGATTTTTCTGGCAATATCTGATGCCAAAATATAATATGAAAAAAAATAGCTCGGTTTTCTTGGAAATGTTTTCAACTCAATTCGGTCTTAGTTTTGTTTGGAGATGTTCGTTGAAAAAAGGTCCAGGTGCTCGTATGGAATTTTTCGTAGTAGTGTTTCGTTTAATCGGGTAGGCGTTTCCATAAAAAAAGTGTATTTGAATTATATATGAACATTCAATTACATCAATGTCAATCTATGTCACAATTTGTTTAGCCTGACCAAATTTTATATCAAGTGGAATTAATGTCACTTATTATGTGAGTTCATTGGAGTTAATAATACTAAACAATCAAATACAGTTTCTTTATACCCGTGGTTTTAGTTTGAATTACAAATATAATTACAATTATTATTAGCTAATATCATATAATTTGTTTTAGTCAATGTCACATTTGTACTTATCGTTGAAACGGAAATGCATTGATTTCTTTCCACATTCATTTATTTTGTTTGATGATGCAGTTCAGAGGAGTAAAACACCCTTACACTGTAATCTATTTCATCCTTTACACATGTATGTTCTTATCTCCAGTCATCTTCATTAAATCTACCTGATGATTAAGTATACATCTTTGCCCCCGGTCATATCGTCGATGTTCATCTCTCTCTCTCTCTCTCTCTCTCTCTCTCTCTCTCTCTCTCTCTCTCTCTCTCTCTCTCTCTCTCTCTCTCTCTCTCTCTCTCTCTCTCTCTCTCTCTCTCTCTCTCTCTCTCGTGTCAGTCGTCACAGCAAATTAAATAATTCAATTCAATGATATATGTCATAATTTGCATTTGGTATCTGTTGTCGATTATGTACAAGCAGGGCTAATGGACTCTGTATCAGGCAGTCATATCCTCCAGCTAGCACTCACTTGTAATAATTGAATATCTAATCAACCGTAAGGAACTCCAATCTGTATTAATCGAATTTCTCATATAATTGTAACGTAATTGAAAATTATTCTCATCTTATTGACCGAATATAACAAACATCGGTGAAAGTTTTAGAACTTGACTGTTTATTATTATTATTGTTATTATTTTTATTATTAATTTTATTATTATTATTATTATTATTATTATTATTATTATTATTATTATTATTATTATTATTATTATTATTATTATTATTATTATTATTGTTTCCCCATGATAGTGATACTGGTATATGTAGTCTTGGATACTTTTATTGTGTTTTGCTTGTGTTAGTCCCAAATTACACTTACGTACATTAGACAAAATTATATACGGACAGAAAGAAAACTGCACTGTGGAATATAATCAATGTATTTTGTATACGCTTTTGAAACCCAACACTATATGGCATTCTGGAAAGAAAAACAACTGAAAGCAATAAAACGAATAAATGACAATATCAGGAAATTAATTGCTGATTTTCTTCAATGTCTGATAATATTGACACCAATCGAAATATACGATAGCTAGCAAGTACTAAGTTATGTATGAACATCTTCCTAAAAAATCCGAATTCTGTTTCTGTACTTAATTTTGATCTTCTTCTTGTTTTATATATTCACGATTTTATTAAAATTTCTCTTTTCTTCAGCTGGTGTACCGTCTACTAAAATTCATTATTATCATCCAATCTAAAAAGTGTGATTAAAAGTAAAAGAAAAATGTGGCATTTTTACTTTTTCTTTAAAAACCAAACAATTAAAAGCACAAAAATTATTTAAATCGCATTATTCCTTTAGAATGATAAAAAACTAAAACATTCAATGATAACGTATATACATATATGATACAAATTGCAGTCAAAGAACATATTTCAATGTAGGTGTGAAAATAGATCGGTTTCTTGTTCCGCCCTATGCTTGATCATTCTAAGGTTTATTTCTTTAAGTAATTTATGGCTAGAACCACTTCTTATAAATATGGTGCTCACATTCAGACAAGTATAGTAATCGCTGGTAAACAACGCCATCTATAAATCGCTTTCTAGACTTCGATCAATAAGGACACTGACTAAACATACGTGTGTTAGTTAGTGACTAACACCAGCTCTGCTAGTTAACTAATGGATGTGGAACTAGAATGTTCTTAACGTTTAATTACAACACCAAGTGGCTCATGTAAGCATTGTGGATCGCTTTCAAGTATATTGTCTCTACTGTTAGAGATTGCTTATCGCTGTATTATATGCAAACATGACCTTCATGTGATTTATTTTATCATAAATGTATTTCTATCATTAAATTCAAGTGACTCTATACGTTTGAATAAGTAGATATCCTGAAGGTCAAATTGGCAAACCTAATTTAATGTTTCATTTTAATGTATTAAATTGGCCCACTATATGTTTGCTTTGACAGAAAAGATAAGCAAGACGGTTTATTAAGGTTTTTTAGTGGCTGCAAACAAACGGAAACACTGAGCTTAATCTCTATTCCATGCTGTCGTCAAATCGTAAAACTTGATAGTGGTACGCTTTACCGTCTTAATAATTTAGTTTTCAGGTTTCTATATGGTTGAAAAAATAGCTTTTTTCTGAGGTTAAAATATGTCTTATGACTGAATTTCTTTTTAAACTGACCGTTTCTTTAATTGCATATTTATTTATATGTTCAATTAATGCAATTTTGTTTATTTATTTATTTATTTATTTATTTAAATTTATTTCGTGTCATTTTGGCAAATAAAAAGACACCCAGGCAAAACAAAAAGTTGCATATAAATGGTGAATTTCAGCTAAAACTTTCCTGATGCGAAGAAGTGTGTTCTTTATGCCGAAATCAAAAGGGAAAACAGATTTTGTTTGTTAACAGCGTTCAAATTTATTAATTATTTGTCGGTGTGGAGCATGCTCTCTCACTCTGACTTTCAACCCGCTAGAGATAGCTTTAGATATTTTCCTTTTTCGGAGATTCATTACGTCGTGGTCTGTGTTAATATTTTCTGTATCTTACTGCACTGCGACTGAACCAGTCACCTTATACACCGGCGCTATGTTATAAAGTCATGTACCACGCAAAATTCATATTACTTTCAAACATTTGTTCATTCCAATGTTGACCAAGAACAAAATAACTGATAAAATAGAAAGGGTATTTTCAGCAACGTCCGGTCATTTATCATCACTATAAAATTCAACGAATAGAGTCTCGTATATCCTCCGGGGACAATTCTGATCATTCTGCCATTTTCCACATGTGATCCTCTGGGTCGTTATAATTGTACACGCATGCGCTCGTTCGGCTTCATTTATGGGGTAATACAAGCCGAAAAGTCAGGGAGCTATAATTTGTACTGTATGCTCTCTTGGGAAATGAAAATTGCATCGCTTCAATCGAAATAAAGTTTCTTCGATATCTATTCAGATTTGTCTATTGTGAGAGAAACCGTAAACATTCATCTTGTGCAAAGATGTATCACCAATATAAACTCGTGAACGTACAACAATATGCTATAGGCCTTCACAAGTCCATGATGATTAGCGTCTAAGGGTCGCAAATTGGTACTCTAAAAGGTTTTATATGTCACAAAGCATACATGGGAATTTAAAAAATATATTTTTTTCTGTTAAGAAATAGCTCTTGATTTATTTTATCCCTCTAATATCCTAAAACATTTTCGTGATCCATTATGGTATCTTTTTTTAAATTTAAACTAGGAGAAGAGAAAGGTAAAGAAAAGCATATCACAGTTTTTATAATAAAAATAATTCATTTAATAATTGGAATTATTCAATTAGTGTAAAAGGAAAGCCAGGGTTTATATCATACTAGTTTAGATCGGATGAGAGTACAATAAACAGTTCAATGATGCATCGATGGAATGTGGAGAAACGTTGTGTTATAAAGAACTCGCCCTTAATTTTACCTTTTCTGTTTCCGATATAATTTTAAATCAAATTCGACATTGCAAAGAAATAAGGTTAAACACTGAATTCAACTTACATCAAGAAATTTATTTGAAACAACACGTAAAAAGATAACCAAATCTACCCATTGCATTTCTCGATGAAAATTGGCTAACGTTACACGAGCTGTCCTATATGCAGAAAAAGCTGCATGCATTAAAATGCATATATTCTGCTTATCATTATAGAATACACACACACACACATACACACACACACACACACACATATATATATATATATATATATATATATATATATATATATATATATATATATATATATATATATATATATATATATATATATATATATATACACACACACACACACATAAAGAATTGCTGAAGGTTGTAAAAAAAATTTATGGTCTATTACGTACCAGTACGTGGTCATTATATATATATATATATATATATATATTTATTTATTTATATATACATACATATATATATATATATATACATACATATATATATATATATATATATATATATATATATATATACATATATATATATATATATATATATATATATATATATATATATATATATATATATACACACACACACACACACACATAAAGAATTGCTGAAGGTTGTAAAAAAAATTAATGGTCTATTACGTACCAGTACGTGGTCATTTACGTGCCAGCACGTATACAAAATCATGCTTAAAATCGCAGTAATATATAATATACAGATTATCGTGTAATGCAGTGGTTTTCCTGAGCCTCGTCAATCTCTTTTCACGTGTCGCCACCCTAAAAAAAAAAAAAGAAAAACCTTTTGCGACCCCTAGAACGTCATCGTAACCTTAATTTGTGTGGCAGTCTTGGGGTTTGTGAACCACTGGTCTAATCTAAGATTTAAATAGCAAGCTTAGTGTGAGTTTTTCTTATGTATTTACTTTGTTGCTGCCTTTCTCTATTTGAATACATACGAATAATAGAGACCGCTCCAGTGGCCTAGTGGTTAGAGTGTCCGCCTCGTATGTGGGAGGTCGCGGGTTCGAACCCCGACCGAATCTTACCAAAGACTTTAAAAAATCGTACTAGCAGCTGCCTCGTTTGGCACTCACCATTAAGAGGTTAGTGTTAGGAATGGTCGGCCTGGTGTCAGGATAATGTGACTGGGTGGAACATCATGCTACATGTCTGCGGCAGGATGCTGCAGTGCTAGACATCACTGTAAACTGTCACACTGCAGACTTTGTAGCCATATGACTGAAAAAATGTTAAAGCTACGTTAAACATCTAAATCACACACACACACACACACACACACACACGAATAATAGTACTCTACTAACGATATACAGTTTGGGTTGCAATATTATAAAATTCTAACAATCATATTCTTCATTAAAGGCATCCATTTTTGAACTACACAATACAACAATTCTGACAGTCATCATCTTTATATTATAGAACTATAAATTATAATCCTAAAAAGTTCACTTTATAAAAATTCATCAAAAATTCCATCATGACACACGTATAGCCTGTCAATTTCAAAAACAAAAAGAGTTGTAAACATAGCTGAAGGTAAAGTTTGTGCAGAAATAAATACCTCTTGACACGGAAAAATGACAGGTATTCAAAACGTAAAGAAAACATTAATTATGTCTTCCTGTAATAGAGAATAATACTAATATTAATATTAATAATAAGTTTTCATGCTGTTTTTTTTCACATCATCATCTTTCCCATATTTTCCGATGAGTGCAAACTAGTCTACTTTTTTTAACAAAAGCTTGCAATAAAAGCTTCGTCAAAATTACTTTGCATTCAGTTATATCTAGAATTGTGTTTACTACTGTCGCCTTATAATTTTTCTGTTATTTTCATTCGTGGAAGCGCCTCATAACTGCAAAATGTCGTTCCAGAAACATTTCTTCAAACTCAGTTACGATTGTATGAGTTCAGTATCTTCTATTAATTTCTGTAAATGTTATACTTTTTTATTTCAAAGTATGACTCGTATTATTTTTGGAGCAAAAGGACAATAGTTCCAAATATTTTGGCGCATTGTTTTACGCCTTGTAAGAAGAGAAAAACATACTGCAAATAAAAGGTCGGTACTTTTTACTGCATGCAGATTGGACGATCATATTAAGATTTAAATTCAATAATGGATCGCTCGACCAGGAAAAATCAAATTAGTGCCAAGTCCTCGATGTTGATACATTGTGATCTTTTGCATATTCATATGTCTTTGATTGTGTTAAACGATCATAGAGAATTTCTCATTTAATGTCATAAACAAGCGCAAGGGTTAACACGTATAATAACTCTAATTTGCCTTGCTTTTATGGTCCGTCGTCGAGAAAGTAGTATAACGTCACTTAATCAAAGCATATTTGCTGTAATTCGCTAATTTGTTACGGCTGACTTTTTTTCTACCAACATTTAACCAATGTGTGCCAAAGAAAACTCTAAAACAAAATGTATATTAGTCATCCATTTATCATTGCCAGTTTGTACTGGTCAGTGAATGTTTTATTTAATTTACCTAATTGTTGTATTTATAAACAAACAAAAAAATGACTTATTGATGATTACTGATGCTCAAAGTTTTTACATTTTATATAATCACAGCTATCGAAAATTTCGTGATATCCTTAATAATATCCTTCACTGATTAAAAAGAGCTAATTACATTTAATATACAGAAATTTAAAGTTTGGCTGCCTGTAATCAGTATTCTACCTAAGTAATAAAAGGTAATTATCTAATATGAGTGTGGTTTTCTCCGAAACTTAAGAAATATTTTACCCCAGTAATAATAGGTAATAACCTGATATTACATGGAAGATATTATCTCAGCAATAATAGTTATTATCTGATATTAAGTGGATGTCTCTGAACCTTAAGGAACATTCTACCTCAGTAATTAAAGATAATTATCTGATATTACATGGAACATGTTATCTCAGCAATAATAGGTATTATCTGATATTAAGTGGAGGTCTCTGAACCTTAATGAATATTCTACCTCAGTAATAAGAGATAATTACCTGATATTACGTGGATGCCTCTGAACCTTAAGCAGCATTCAGTCCTGCCATATTGGAAATTATTTATGAAATTTCAGATCTAGAATGAACTATGTTATTCAGTACTTACCAAAGCATGTGCACTAAAGAATGAGATTGAACTCTATACTCGCATACAAATTCCAATCCAACTGTAAAGAACACAGCCCTAATCTTCTAATGCATAATGCACATGCAAGTCAGGGTCTATGTTGCTTGCTTTGCAGATAATTTCTTACAAACTGCATAGACCCAGCTCTTCTGGAGATTTACGCAGCGGTACAAATGCGTTTGTGCAGTTTGCTGTTGAATTCGATTATGAAGCTTGTATACAAGATTAAGGCACGTTTTCTGCACTTAATCATTGAACAGTTATTACAAGAATTGGACAGGTTCTGATACAATTATGTTGGGTTTGCTGGACAAAGAAATCAGGAGAGCCATGAACAAATCCCACAATTTAATAAAAATCAAACATTGCGACAGTTAAGATGGTACATAATGTCGTAAGACAAAACATGTGCATGAAAATCCTTTGCAGGCATAGTACATAGTGTCATAAGTAATAAATATGATGAAAATGCACTGTAGGTATGGTGCATAGTGTCATGGGGTCAACGAATAAATATACATGAGAATGCACTGTAAGTATGGTGCATAGTGTTATAGGGTTAAGGAATAAATATACATGAAAATGCACTGTAAGTATGGTGCATAGTATTATGGGGTCAAGGAATAAATATACATGAAAATGCACTATAGGCATGGTGCATAGTATTATGGGGTCAAGGAATAAATATACATGAAAATGCACTGTAGGTATGGTGCATAGTGTTATGGGGTCAAGGAATAAATATGCATGAAAATGCACTGATGCCATGGTACATAGTGTTATGGGGTCAAGGAATAAATAAACATGAAAATGCACTGTAGGAATGGTGCATAGTGTTATGGGGTCAAGGAATAAATATGCATGAAAATGCACTATAGGCATGGTACATAGTGTCATGGTGTCAAGGAATAAATATCCATGAACATGCACTATAGGCATGGTGCATAGTGTTATGGGGTCAAGGAATATATTTACATGAAAATGCACTGTACGTATGGTGCATAGTGTTATGGGGTCAAGGAATAAATATACATGAAAATGCACTCTAGGCATGTTGCATAGTGTCATGGTGTCAAGGAAGAAATATGCATGAAAATGCAAAGTATACATGGTACATAGTGTCATGGGGTCAAGGAATAAATATGCATCAAAATGCACTGTAGGCATGGTACATATTGTCATGGTGTCAAGGAATAAATATGCATGAAAATGCACTGTAGGTATGGTACATAATGTCATGGTGTCAAGGTATACATATACATGAAAATGCACTGTAGGAATGATACATATTGTCATGGTGTCAAGGAATAAATATGCATGAAAAAGCAAAGTTGTCATTGCACATAGTGTCATGGGGTCAATGAATAAATATGCATGAAAATGCACTGTAGGTATGGTACATAGTGTCATGGGGTCAAGGAATAAATATACATGAAAATGCAGTGTGGGCATGGTACATAGTGTCATGGGGTCAAGGAACAAATATGCATGAAAATACACTGTAGGCATGTTACATAGTGTCATGGGGTCAAGGAATAAAAATGCATGAAAATGCGCTATAGGCATGGTACATAGTTTCATGGTGTCAAGGAATAAATATGCATGAAAATGCACTATAGGCATGGTACATAGTGTCATGGTGTCAAGGAATAAATATCCATGAACATGCACTATAGGCATGGTGCATAGTATTATGGGGTCAAGGAATAAATATACATGAAAATGCACTGTACGTATGGTGCATAGTGTTATGGGGTCAAGGAATAAATATACATGAAAATGCACTGTAGGCATGGCACATAGTGTCATGGTGTCAAGGAAGAAATATGCATGAAAATGCAAAGTATACATGGTACATAGTGTCATGGGGTCAAGGAATAAATATGCATCAAAATGCACTGTAGGCATAGTACATATTGTCATGGTGTCAAGGAATAAATATGCATGAAAATGCACTGTAGGTATGGTACATAATGTCATGGTGTCAAGGTATACATATACATGAAAATGCACTGTAGGAATGATACATATTGTCATGGTGTCAAGGAATAAATATGCATGAAAATGCAAAGTTGTCATTGCACATAGTGTCATGGGGTCAATGAATAAATATGCATGAAAATGCACTGTTGGTATGGTACATAGTGTCATGGGGTCAACGAATAAATATACATGAAAATGCACTGTAGGCATGGTACATAGTGTCATGGTGTCAAGGAATAAATATACATGAAAATGCACTGTGGGCAGGGTACATAGTGTCATGGGGTCAAGGAACAAATATGCATGAAAATGCACTGTAGGCATGTTACATAGTGTCATGGGGTCAAGGAATAAAAATGCATGAAAATGCGCTATAGGCATGGTACATAGTTTCATGGTGTCAAGGAATAAATATGCATGAAAAAGCACTATAGGCATGGTACATAGTGTCATGGTGTCAAGGAATAAATATCCATGAAAATGCACTATAGGCATGGTGCATAGTGTTATGGGGTCAAGGAATAAATATACATGAAAATGCACTGTACGTATGGTGTATAGTGTTATGGGGTCAAGGAATAAATATACATGAAAATGCACTGAAGGCATGGTGCATAGTGTTATGGGGTCAAGGAATAAATATACATGAAAATGCACTGTAGGCATGGCACATAGTGTCATGGTGTCAAGGAAGAAATATGCATGAAAATGCAAAGTATACATGGTACATAGTGTCATGGGGTCAAGGAATAAATATGCATCAAAATGTACTGTAGGCATAGTACATATTGTCATGGTGTCAAGGAATAAATATGCATGAAAATGCACTGTAGGTATGATACATATTGTCATGGTGTCAAGGAATAAATATGCATGAAAATGCAAAGTTGTCATTGCA